TTATTTATGTATTTATTTATTTATTTAATTTTGGCTTAAATGGCATTCCATAGCTCAGCGGTGATGACTTGTCCTTCCGGAGCTAACCGTTGTGCCAGCGTCGTAGTTATTGGGTGAGTTAGCACTTCAAATAGATCATCTAGTGCTATATTTTATCTTCAAATGCTTGGTGGCTTATTTAAACTGAGTTTCTTTATATCGCACCTTGCAGGTTTGAAAACCAAGAGTTGCATGACCAGCGAGGCATGTGTTGAACCCATTAAGTGCTGTTTCTACGACCTGTGTAACAGCGCCCTGCCCGCCGGCAGCAGTCCGCACCTCCTGCTGCTCTCCTCGGCCATCATCACCGTCTTTCTCTGAGGCTCCGGAGCAGCTATAGCTTAACAAAATGTGTCTTCTTTTTTTGGAACCCTAGGAGAATAAACACATTTCCGGACGTATAAAAGCTGTAAATGAATAATAATAATAATAATAATAATAATAATAATAATAATAATAGATTACATTTGTATAGCGCCTAATGCATCTCGACATTTGTTCAATAAAATACAACATTATGGATTATGTCATTGTTTAATTGATTTGTTCTTCATTTCACATTGCTATGTACAGCGACAGCAGTTTTGTCATGAAGCCATAATAAGAAACATGGGTGACAAAACAGGACATAGAACATTAACAATATTGAGAACATTTATAAATTATATGTAAATTGCTCAGGATTAATGAGCAGATCAGCGGACTAAGATGTTTGGACTGTGAGTTACTTTTGATCAACAGGTCAACACAAGCATAAATAAAAAGAAAGAAAGTCTTCATTTACAATATAGACAATAGGCATAATTTTAAAACAACATACATCTATTGCAGTTATGATGTCATAATAATATACAATTGTATAAAACACAATTTGCTTACATCTTTGTTCTCTTTTGAGAATCAAACAAAACAGAATTAAATTAAAAAAAAATAATGCAAACAAACAAGTGAAAGGAACTAAATTGCTGAATTGCTTTTAATTCACTGGCAGGAGCGACAAGTGAGGAGGAGCAAAAAGTGAACAACGAGGGAGAGATTGAACAAAGAGAAAGACTAGAGGACAGAGAGAGTAATGAACAGGAAGAAGAGCGAGAGACCAAAGAAGATGGAAGAGAGGGTGCAGGTTATGGAAAGAAGAGAGACATGGAAAATGAATGTTGACAATGTGTTGTGATCATTTTAGCCTCTTCTGCATGTCCAGATCATTACTAGTAACAATCAACTGATTCTTATGCATTACACTTTCAACAATAATTTATGCTGCAGCCCACTGACATTGTTTGAAATCAATATATTATCCAAATGGTGACACAGGACTTAAAAAGCACCCAACTAGATCATGAAAATCCCAAAAATCTATACCCCCGAACCCCAGCATGTTTGGACCTCGGTATTTAGGAAATCCTGGATACGGCCCTGCTCATAGGTGAAGAAAGTGAAGACAATCTAAAGATAATACAAAAGGCGGTTTAAGATAAATGTTTTTATTGAGTATAATCTGATACAAACTTAAGTTAGGTCAGTTTGTTTGCAGGATCTTAAAAAATGCATTATTGAAAAAGATGTAAAATTGAGCATGTTGTTCTTTGAAATATTCTAACTTTAGTTTTTGGTAATGTGCATGTGTTCTTGCTGAACATATAAAGCTCATGCTTTCCAGAATAGAACAGACCTACTACAGAAAGTGCAACAAACTTTTCGGTTCTTTGGCAGTCCAGTCAAATGCTTGGTGGCTTGTTTAAACTGAGTTTCTTTATATCGCACCTTGCAGGTGTGAAAGGCTTGGGTTGCATTCCCAGCGAGGCATGTGTTGATCCCTTTAAGTGCTGTTCATACGACCTGTGTAACAGCGCCCTGCAGTCCGCTCCTCCTGCTGCTCTCCTCGGCCATCATCACCGTCTTTCTCTGAGGCTCCGGAGCAGCTACAGCTTAACAAAATGTGTCTTCTTTTTTGGAACCCTAGAAGAATAAACACATTTCCGGACGTATAAAAGCTGTAAATGAATAATAATAATAATAATAATAATAATAATAATAATAAATTACATTTGTATAGCGCCTAATGCATCTCGAAATGTGTTCAATAAAGCACAACATTATGGATTATGTCATTGTTTAATTGATTTGTTCTGCATTTCACATTAGATTTGTTCTGCATTTCACATTACTATGTACAGCAACGGCAGTTTTGTCATGAAGCCATAATAAGAAAATGTGTGACAGGACATAGAACATTAACAATATTGAGGAAATTAATACATTATATGTAAATTGCTCAGAATTAATGAGCAGATCAGCGGACTAAGATGTTTGGACTGTTTAAATAAATTGAGTTACTTTTGATCAACAGCATAAATAAAAAGGCAGAAAACATTTGCTGAACTTCTCTATAAGGTATTCATCTATTCTAGACCAATAACATGTTTCTGCATGAAGCACACATTCAATTAGAAACACTTTCCTTTAGCATGTTAAACTATGATGTGTCAGAGAGGATATACCCAAATTGATGAAATCTAAAACTTTGTATGTTTAAATATTGGCCAGTTAATTTATTAAATATAATGAAGAAATCCCTTTAAATGTATCAGAAACGTATTTCTTACAGAAGTTAATGTAGTGTTTTTATGTTTAAAAACATATTTCTTATATTATTCCAAATAATGCTTTTTTTCATTTAGAAATGTTGCTAATTTACAAGTCAAAGCCAACGCATGTAAGCTTGGAACATGTATGACTATGGCATCATCTGGTGGTAGTATCAAGAAGGCAAGAACGCAACAAAAAGGCTCCTGATTTGCAAAAAAAATGTCAACTGACAAAAATGTCAGAATAATGTTAAAAAGATACTCTGATCCCGTAACAGTTCTATATATAGTGACTTAAACATTTTACAAAACAATACTGACTATAACTTGTACGGCAGAATTATTTTTCGAGCAAGGAATTTAGACTAGAGAATGCAATTCCTGAAGAAATTGCTAGTGGGAATGCTGAAATGCTGAAATGCTGACGCTGAACTGCTATGCTGAAATGTAATGTGTAAGAAGAAAGTGAAGAATTTAGATTGAAATTATAGATGAACACTGGGGGCATCTTAGTGCTTTCTGATATATATATATATATGAGAAAGCACTAAGATGACAATTCTGTTTTGTTTTTTTATGGAACAAGCCCTCAAGATACTTCATTGTTTTTTATTATCAGCAAAACAAATATAGCATTTAACTCTATCATTGTGTTTTTTTGAATTGTTGAGTATATTACAAAGTTGCTGAGTGCAAAATATGCAATCTTGATAGGCCCCACACTATGCAAATCATTGCAAGACAATAATAAACAAAATTATACAATCAGATAATTAATAGGAACTCATTGTTATTTTAAAACAAATCAATATTTATTTCTATTAACATGCCAAAATGTTTCAGATATTAATAAATGTTAAAGCATCAATATTTCATTATTACCCTATTATTTGTGAGTTGGGGTCAACATCTTCTGAACAGGACACTGAGTTTGTAACAAAATCATAATGGTCAATTTAAACACACTTTAACTGTATCAAACTGAAGAAACTGTCTGGAACACTGGTCAGAGGTTGACTCTTGGGGCAACAAGTAAGGTCACTTGGTTTTCCATGTGGTTTGAAATATTTCTATCTTTTTTGCAGAGCTTGAATTGTTCTGGTAACTTAGTGCCTGTGTAAGAGTATATTTTTAACCTTAAAAAAGGGACGTGAAAGTGCTTTCTCAGTATTTGTCGAGGGGCAAACCAAGGGAACAAGTAAATAAGTCAATCTTAGGTACATTTGTACACTTTTAACTCTCAGAATGTTGTATTTTGTTCTGCCACCAAGGATGATCTCAACATCTTTCTAAAAGCGTTAGGGTCTCATGGCTGTCTCAGGAATAATGGGGTCAATTTAGGAGGGGGAATTATTCCGGTCACTTGGGAGGAGGCATTGTGAGGAAATGCAAATGATCAAGTTCTTAAAGACTGGCTGAAAGAGGAAGGGTACTCTACAGTCCCGCTCTCACTTGGCAAATCTGTTTTTCTCTCTGTTCATGATGAAGCTTTTTGGTGCTCTGATCCTGTTTATTACTCTGTCTGCAGGTAAGAACAGCTTTTGATTTAGACTCATGTGCACTGACTGAACAAGTTAGATATTTTTGGAAACATGCATATTCACTTTGAAAAGATTGATCACACTGTTGTAGTGATTTTGAAAAAGGATTACTGTTTCACATATATTTTATATTTAACAATTGCAACTAAAAATAACTATGGGCCATTTTATTTTACTTTATTTAAACTTCCTTTGACCTTCCCTTTTTCTTTCACTTGGCAATGCAAATACAAAAGAGCCACCTTTGCACACTTGCAAACAAAACCAAATCAGACACGCCTTACACTTTCCCATGATAAGCCGGCTATTTTATCTTTTGGGGTCATGTATGACCTGTGGACATGGGGGCTCATTGCTCTTTGAACTCAATTGAGTGGCAATTTCTGCTGGCATGTGACTTTTTTGTACAATATGTTGTTTGTTTGATCATAGTTTTACAAAGTACTTTAAAATACTTTAATTAACCTAACTACATTTCTCCCTAGGGTAGCTTTGCTGTAGTTTAAAGTGTTCCAGGTTGTTGAATTGGTACAGTAGCTTCCCCAACCCTGCATCGTTGGCATGTTTTCACCTGATGTGTTTTTTGTGTATATTTACAGCCTGTGGATTAAGATGCTACACATGCACCGCCACCGACCCTAAATCATGCATTGACACCAAATCTTGTCCAGTCATCTTCAACCGGTGTTTCTCTCTCAGAATAGACGGTTAGTTGTTCATTCACCTAATACGTTTCTAAAGCTACAGTTGCAATCTAAATGATTCAACCCCCTTTGCACATTAAGTTTATTAATGATCCTAAGCATACCTCAAAGTCAACCAAGGCTTGGTTTCTGAAGAAGAAATGGAAGATTCTAGAGTGGCCGTCACAGTCTGTCAAGGAGTGAACTCTGAGGCATGAACTCAAAAGCACGACTCAACTCAGACTCAGGTCAAAATAAAGACTTTACTGGTTTAGACACAGTAACAAAACAGGGAAAACAATAACACTAATTCGAGGAAAAACAAGGACTATGATCATGACCTTAGAGGTACGTAATATGTCCGTGGAGTAGGCTTGAACGTTTGTCCTAAATGAGGAAACTAACTGGCAATGGACAGGAGGGAACTAGCACAATATATACACAGGGTAAGGGGAACAGGTGGAAACAATCGTGGCGGGGAAAACAATCACGGACGCAGGAGAAAGATAGGGGCGGGGAGCGTGGAGGCCTGAAATGAGAGTGAGAATTACTTATTAAAATAAACATAAAGCACAGGACAAAGGGACATGAAAAAACTAACATAAAGAATAAACTTTCACAATAAGTTTCTTAGACATGACACAGTCGCCTGACTCTATGAACCCCATTGAGAATCTCTGGTGGGAGATCATTGCCCGTGAGGAATGGGCTAAGATTCCTCAGGAGCGCTGTCAGAAGCTGGTGTCTGGCTATGCATCACGTTTGCAGCAGGTCAAAGGGTGCTCCACTAAGTACTGAATATGCTTGTCAAGAAGGGGTTGCATATTGAATTTTGATTAGTTTTAAAATTAGCATTTTGTGTTGAATTTGGTTAAAAAGCCTTATAATATTAGTTTAATTGAATCTACTTAAACAGTTATTGTGTAATTTGTTCATTGCAAACAGCTGAGGAATTGTAAATTTTGCAAATAAACAATAAATAATGTGCAATGGGGATTGAATAATTTAGATTGCAACTGTAATATTCCACCCACAAAAAACAACCATCATACAATAATCTTGTTTTGTGAACTGGTTTCATATATTTCTTTTTGCAGGTTATACCATGGTAACCAAGGGTTGCCAAAGCAGCATAGCATGTGGCGGTGCCATGGCTTGCTGTGAAGGGAACTTGTGTAACAGTGCCCTCCCCACTGCTCCCTGTGTCATCCTCCTGCTGGTCTCCTTGGCCTCCATCTTTTTCTGAGGTTCTGGGACTTCGTTATTTCTATGCTTTTCCTGATCCAACTGAAGAAGAATAAGCAATTATTATATTTACATGCTCTTCCAAACCTCTATTTCTAACACAATAAGATTGTCTTATGTTTAAATCAAACTAATGATGTTGTCCCTCGGCCGGATATTAAATTGGCCATATACTGTTTGAAGACGGTTGGTTTCAAAACTGTTGTAATGATATGTTTAGAAGATGGTTTCTTGGTGTGTTTTTCGTTGATAATCAAATCCAATAGTTAGTTGATAATGTGTTTGTTTTTTTTACCATTAAGTCTCCTTATATATATTGTGTGAGACAAATAGATCACATTTTATAAAGAAGAACAGAGAAAAAAGACATACAGTATATATGTGTGTGTGTGTGTGTGTGTGTGTGTGTGTGTGTGTGTGTGTGTGTGTGTGTGTGTGTGTTATATTTTATGAAATGTGATTGAGCATGATTAGAGGGACTCCTCTCTGTAATTGTTGTTATTATAAAAATAAAGAGCTTGTAACGTAACTTGAACCTTGAAACTATGCTAAGACGGATGCACACTAAGGCTAGATGCATGGGGAAATGAAGCTGGAATGTTAATAAATTGAATGACGAACACGTGGGGGGGGGGTGATGGTAGTTAGGTTATTGCAGGGCAGAAGAGGTGGCTGTGGATGTCAAGTAACTAACAGCTGATAAGTTCTTGGAAGTGTGAATGTTGCTGAAAGGAGAAACAGAGGAAGAATGTGCATACATGCTTTCAACCTCACATCCCATTGGGGAAAACAATGTAAACAAGAGCAGTACATAACGAACATCTACAGCAATGATCCATCCTCTGGGGACTGTGAAAGCCTTAACCAAAGTTGATTCAAATCCAATCCAATTATTGCCAAGATATTTCAGTCTGGACCAATGAGGTGGGGTCAAGATAAGCACTGGCGATAGCAACAGGAGCCAGATGCTTCAATGATTTGCTAGGGAAATGTAGTCTTTTTTTACTCAACAAAGTTCATGTAACTGCTGGAGTATCTAATGCTACTGTGCTTTAGATTAAACTAACAAACAGTGGGCTAATATAAAGTAGTTTAAGTGTGCTTGACATCCACCAGCTGTAACAACTAAACTGCAGTCGGATTCTCTAAAGCAGTGGTTCTCAACCTGTGGTACGCGTACCACTGGTGGTACGCCAGCTCCCGCTAGTGGTACGTGGAGGAATCTGACATATAAAAATTTTTTTTTTAAAAAAAGAGATTTATTTTATTTATTTTTTATTTTTTTTATTCAAAGGTGGGATAGGTAATTTTGGAGAAACCAGCTCGAGTGAGCTAGAATTTGAAAATACACAACCGGAAAAAATATGCCACTTCCTTACAGAGCCTTCCACAGATGACATTTTTTTAAGGATTTTTTGTCAAAGCACTTCAGATATTCATTGCTATCGGGATGTTAAGAACATTCCATGGAATATAACAAAAGTGTATCTCGAGCCGGTTTCTCAAACGTACCTACCCCACCTTTAACCTTTACACATAACACAGACATATAAAATACAGGAAACAGAACTAAGTAAACAAAAAGACAAAAAGCAGTCACTACATTGTGCACATTTGGGACATTAAGGTACACTATTATTGCTGCAAGAGCAGCTGATGGTAAGGACCTCAGACAACTTCAATTTAAAACTAGGCTATAGGGACAAGTGCCATCAGTTTGAGGCTTGATTGAATAACATTAATTAAAAAATAAATCATACTATCAAAATACTA